GGCACAATACAATCTCCATGAAACATATGATTACACGGTGTCAATGTCACCATTTCTCCCGCTTCAAAATCGTCTAAACAAACCGCACATCTTTTGCCATCTTCTTTGTTATTTTTCTCACGTGATTTGGCTCTAAAATCAGGATCCCTATAATATAAACTTACCCTTTGCAACCCCGGGTTGTAAATTTCTTTCTTAAGCTTCTCAAGCCCTTTATTTTGCTCGGTTAAAATTGGAGATTGGGTGGTCGATGTTTGCCTCAGGTATCCGTTTCTTTGATTGGTGGTGTTGCGTGATAGGTTTTGTATCGGAGGTTGAGATGTAGCCCTAATGAAAACATAAAAGTTTGAGGTGTTGTTTCTTTTTGACTTAATGGAAACAAAACTTAATAAATCTAGACACCGAACGTTAAAATATTACCTAAAGGAAAAGGGTATCCCATACACTCTGTCCTGAGTGGACCCCAATGAACCCGTTCGCCCTACAACACCCTAAAGGTTTTTAAAAGATTAACTTAATTATCTTGAAAAATCCGATGATGATTGTATTGTATGTTGCAAGAACTTCAAAGGGTGTTTGGATTTGTACTTTGAATGAATTAGAGTAAGATACTCATTCGAATATCAATTCAACTTTGTTGTAATCCAAGATTTTGAGAAAGTATTTAAAAAGATTATAAAATAGCAGTTACTTACATGCATAGAGCTAGGAACAAGTGATATTGAAGATACTTCATAAGGTGCATCGGCATGTTGCCAATAGACAGTGTTCATGAGATTGTTGTTGCGGCTATTCATGTTAGAAAAACACTGCTAGAGGATTAAATTGTACACGCATATAAAAAGCAGTGTTTTACTTTTTATAGAATGGGAATTTTAGAAGCAATTGTAGTCGTATATATATTTTAAGGATTGATTCCTTCCACTTTTTTGATTGTGTGCTGAGATTCAAATTTCACACTTAGCTTGCTTTATTCTCTTATTATGTCCGTTAAAAAAAGATGCACTTGTGGTAGGTTCTAGATATAAGGTATCTTATTCTTTTTGTCATGATAAAACTAGTGGATTATAGACATTGTATATGGGAAAAGAATATCAACATATTGTTACTTATAATATATCATAATTCATAAAAGGATAACATATTCAGAGGTTGAAAATGTTATAAAGAATCACACTTATTTCAAGCTCAAACACTAGATTTCAAATGAAATCAAGGTTTTATTCCTTTTAGAAACAAGTTAAATCGATTTTCTTGTATATGTTAGTGACACTATTCCATTTTTGTTACTTTAAAGTTTATGTTGTAACAATTATTATTTTTGACTTCATTCTTAATCAATTCTCCAATCTTCTACAAGATCAAAAGGCAAATTGGGAAAATAGAAGATGATAGATAACACAACATATATCTATAACGTGGATTGAAAACAACATACTGATATGAAATAAGTTTCAACAACTACAACAGGGTGTGATAGATAGTAATCTAATTAAGCAACATTAAGTCAAAGATAAAGATTAGCAGAGAAAATTACTCGATTGTAAGGTCCATCTTTCGAACAAAGAAGATGTCAGGAACCACAGAAGATAAATTGGTCCTTTGAGCAACCTTCCCTCCATTGATAGGAAGTAAGCTTCCAACATAATTAAACACATCAGACCAATAAGCAACTCCATGATTCCCCAAATTCTTGATCCTCTGAGAATCTGAATCATATAAAACCAACTGATTATTATCCTTCTCTAACAAAAACTCACCTTTCAATCCACACCCCAATGGCCTCCCAACTTTGGTTTGAAGTTCAAAAGACCTATACTTTGTCCATGAAGAAACCACCCCATATTCTTTCATCACCCACACCTCAAACCTCTTCCCAGATCCATTCCCAGCTGAACCAATCACTGCTAATGAACCCTTAAAAGCTACAGCAGTCCAACTGACTTTAGACATACTTGAATCTTCACCTTCAGCATCCCATCCACCAAAATCGAACTCAGGGGGCATGATATAGTGAAAAGCCTCTTCACGGAAGTCAAAACACACAATCAGCTTCTTCCCATGCATCTCCTCGAACCCTATAGCTGTCCAATGAAACCTACCTTTCAAGAACACACTACACGATGACTCAAAGATCAGGAACTGGACACGAGTCTTAATCTCCTTCCATGTATTTGTATTCAACGAGTACATTTCCACTTGATTCAATGGGTAACCGTAATACACAATCCTCAACACCTTATAATCGTTCGTCACATCATCAAACGCAAAACCTAATACGACCTTAATCGGACCAGCTTGGGGTCGATCAATTGGAGATACAGGGAGATCTTTGAAAACCCTAGTAGCAGGATTCCATAACAAGATAATCGATGCAATCGGCAAAATGCTCAAACAGATTAAACCATTACAACTGCCACAGACCCGTAAGGGTTTTGAGATGCTGAGAAACGGGATGTCGATCTCAATGGGAATTTTGATTGGTTTTTCAGAGTTCGATAGGATCAATCCAACGTTACGATTAGCGGCGGCGGTAGGGGGAGACGACGACTTGTGAGGGGTAAAAAGGAAAGATGCATCCAGGGCAGTGACATCGGAGCTTGTGGCTTGATTTTCGAAATGTTTGGTTATGAATTTAGGGTTTTTGAAAAGGGCGTACCATGATTTGGAGACGGATTTGAAACGGAGGATGTATCTGATGGGAACACGCGAGAGGATGTCGATGATTACATCTTTTGGGAGTTCCTTCGACATGGTTATTCAGTGGATATCAGGGTTTGGCTTACAACGAACTAGTTCCAGTGTCGAGTTTACAGAGTGGGAGCTGGAACACGATAACCTCCTCTTTTTAGGGGGCGTTTGGATATATAAAAAAAAAATTAAAAAAAAAATAAAATAAAATAAAATAATAATAATAATAATAATAATAATAATAATAATAATGTCCCATTAGCATATGGAACTTTTTATATTTGGCTAATTTGGTCGTTAAAGTTTTTTTCTTTGTTTTGGTACGTTAGACCAATAAAGTCGTAATTGACCTTTTAATTGCACTATTTTAGAAGGTTTCCCGGTTACAATGCTTATGTGGCACGCTGATGTGTCCAATAAGCTTACGTGGGAAGCTTATGTGTCGAAGTAGTCCACTTGTCGATATAGGCTTATTAATTCAAACCCTCATTCGGACCTCCTTTATATCTTTACTTACCCTTCTCTGAAAAGTCAAAGACTTCTCCCTCCCCGACTATTTTAATCCTGAAGAAGAATGTCTTCGAGCTCATCGACGTCAAGGAATCAGCTACAAGTCACTCATGTTCAGTCGCAAGAAGGGGTAAAGGTCTGTGATTGTGTCGTTCCAGCTAAAGAACGAACCTGTTGGAAGATAACAAACCCTGGGAGGCGATTTGGAATTGTCAAAACAGTATGGTAGGTCCTGATTCTCTTGATTTTGATAAGTTAGTATTTTATGGTTTGATGTGTTGTTTCTTTTTGTAAATACGATAATGGTGTATTTGTATTTTGTTTCATCTGTTAAAAACCCTAATTTTATTTGCTTCTTGACGATCACTGTGAATAAAACCCATTTCGCTGGTACATTAAAGGTAGTTGATTTGTGATTGTCAGTCAAACCCTAATTTTATTGGGTTTTTATAGGCTAGGTTGAGGAAATGTAGCTTCTTTGAATGGAAAGATGAAGAACAGGCAGACGGATACTACAAAAACCTGCTATATTCTCTGAAGCAGAAACTGGATGCCAAAGATGAACTGTCTAAGATGAACAAATTAAGGAGAAGGATTGATGAAGTGGAGTTTCTGCTGTCACAGGAGCAGTATAAGGTGGCAAAGAGTGAGAAATAAGTTCATGATGCAAGGAAGGCAATAGGCAGGTACAGGATGATAGTTTCCCTGTTGTTTGCTTGCTTGGCCCTATGTGTTTTGAAGTTAGGGGGGTCAATGTAGTTAGTTTGGTTGGTTAGTGTAAGCTTTTGTTTTTTTGGGATCCCTTGTATTTTTTGTAAAGGTAGACTAGAAAGTTAGTAATTATGGGCATTTTGTATGTATTGAAGTTGGTTTTAGTTATAAGTTGGGGTTATCAACCTTAATGTGTTGATGTAAAAAAAATATGCATGGTCTATATTCCCAACAAATATATTTAATTAGATTGGTTGTTGTGCATGTTTTAAATTTGGGAACAAATTAGGGAGTGGTCCATGTGGAAGTACACTATGTGTATGGGGACCATTTGTAGTCAGTGAGTGTTTTAATAATGAAAAAATGGGACCTGTGAAGCCATTGAAAAACCATATCTAGGACCATATAAAACATCCCCATGCATGCATATTATTCCGATTTTTTCCATGCATAAATATTCAAAGCCAAATGTCATGATTTTACTTAAAATAGTAACATACTTTCATACTTCATGTCATACATAAATAAATGACCAACATACCCTTTTTGGTCATTCATAAATAAATGACCAACATACCCTTTTCTATCATATATACTTAAATGACCAAAATATCCTTTTCTGTTATACATACTTAAATGACCAAATTACCCTTTTCTTGCATACATAAATGAATGACCTACATACCCTTATCTGTCATAAATAAATAAATGACCAACATACCCTTTTCTTTCATAAATACTTAAATGACCAAAATACCCTTTTCTTTCATACATACTTAAATGACCAAAATACCCTTTTTCTTCATACATACTTAAATGACCAAAATACCCTTTTTCTTTCATACGTACTTAAATGACCAAAATACCCTTTTCTTTCATACATACTTAAATGAACAAAACACCCTTTTCTTTCATACATACTTAAATGACTAAAATACCCTTTAATGTCATACATACTTAAATATAAATTACCAACATCCTATTACATAAACTTTAAATATAAATTACCATCATCCTATTACATAAACTTTAAATCCAATTTACCATCATCCCATTACATAAACTTTAAACACAAATTACAATAAACACTAATCAATTACAAGAGCTTTTCCCTTCGAATTTCCTAAATCATCAACACCACCAATTGTTTTGCCTAATTTCAGCTTCAATATTCTCTCTAACTTTCTTCTCCTTATCCTCTTCAAAATCTCTGAAATTGGCCTAACACTAACCTGCTGAACTTGGCTAACAGGAGAAACCTCTTGAACATTACCATTATCAACTTGGGCATTAGGATTAACCTCATCAACCTCTTGAACATGTACATTATCAACTTGGATAACAGGATCAACCTCCTCAGCCTCCTCATCTTGAACATCTTGCTCAACCACAACAGCTTCCTCAACCACATCAGCTTCGTCACCCATAACACCCTCATCACCTTCATAACATCTAGGTGGAGTAAATTGCATATAATGACTGAAATCCCCTGCGCTACTAGATTCAACATTAGTAGGAGCAACTTGCATATCATTTTGAGTAGTATCCATCTCAATTGGAGTCATTTCAACCTCTTCATGTTGTTGTGGTTCACTTGTACTACCCTACATGGCATGATATAATTATGTTAGTAACAAATTATATGTAATTAATCTTATATTTTAAATTGTTTTACCTGTCCTACATTTTGCTTCACACATACTTTTTGTTTCTTCTGTTTCTTCACATTTAACTTTTGGGGCCTTCTCTGTAGACAAGTGGCCTTGTTGTGACCTATTTCCTTGCAAATACTACATCTGATTTTCTTTCCAGCCTTAAAAACCCTGTGTGTTCCTGTATTCTCTGTAGTGGATTTCTTCCTCTTAGTAGTTGGCCTACCAGGCATCCTTCTATTAATAGGAGGCAATGGTGGAGTATAGTTTGTCTCTGGCCACATGTCACTGCTATTCATGGGAGAAATTTTGTAATTGTATGCCTTCCTAAATGTGGTTATGCTAAACATTTTGTCTACATAGGCTTCTACATCCTTATTAAGAAAGGATATGCTAGCTACAGAATGAGCACATCCATATCCATTCAATTGCTACAACCTACATGAGCATGTTTTCCTTTCTAAGTCCACCTCATATGCATCTATTGCTCCCCTTACCTTAAACTGGTTTAATCCACTTGGTAGTACCTGATAATGCCTTTGATCTTTTTTAAGCAAATTCACCTTATCCCTTATCTCTGGACAAATATGATTTCTCCATTGTTGTCCCTTTAATTTCATGTTGTAGATTATGTCCATCATGTATAATCTTATCTCCTCTAACATGGTTATTATGGGCTTCTTCCTGGCATCTACTATTATAGCATTAAAACTTTCTGAGAACCCATTTTCAACTGCATCACAACACCTTCCAGTTTGAAAGAAAGCTCGTGACCATGTTTTAGGATCTTTCTCCATGAGATAGTGATGGGCATATGGGTTCAATGTCTCAATTTCTTTCATCAAAACTTTAAAAGCATGCTCAGTTATGGCTTTAGATGCTCTCCAAAACAAGGTATGATATATGGCACCAGTAAATCTCTTCTGCAAATTCTGGCAAATATGTCTAGCACACTGCCTGTGCTCTACATATGGCAGCAACTCTTTAACAGCCTCTATCAAACCCTGTAGTAGTAAAAAGGTTTAATTCAGATAGTGTAAAATTAACATAAATGCATTAATATGTAAAATGCTAACCTTATGTTGGTCTGACATTAAACTGAAACCATTGCCTAAATTCAAGTGTAGATCATCAATGAGAAGCTCTAGAAACCACTTCCAATTATGCTTGTTCTCCACATTAACCACTTCCCAAGCAATAGGATATAGCTTATCATTTGCATCCCCCCCCCCCCAATAACACAAAGCAATTCTCCCTTACAAACACCTTTAAGAAAACATCCATCAAGACCAATTACCCTTCTACACCCTTCAATCCAACCTTGTTTAACTCCTCAAAAACAACAATAGAACTTGCTAAAATATTTCTTTCCATCTTGACCATCCTCCATATCTAGTTTCATAGTTGACCCAGGATTTGTCCTTAAAATCTCATGACCATATGACCATAGCTTACCATAATGTTCAACAAGGTTACCTTCAACAAGTTTCAGTGCATACTTCTTTGCTCTTCTACATTGCCCCATATCAACTTGGATACCAAACTTGGCCATTACCTTTAACCTAAGCTTCCTTACACTTATTTTCTGACTTTCTACAATCTCTTTGGTATAGTAACTCCCAATACATGCATATGTCACCAATGATCCAAACTTGAAGTTCCTAGCACAATTATGATCAGCTTTTAGTGACTTGATTTGGAAACTCTCTTCATCACTCATCCAGGAAGCCCATAATCTAAATGTGCAAGCACCCTTGCTACACCTCACCAAAAGTCTTGTCCTATCATTTTTTTTCAAAACACAATAGATATCCATTAGCTACAACATAGTTACACAACATTGATTTTACTTGCCCTGGACCCTTAAATCTTATCCCTAGAATTAGTTTTTGTTTTTTCTAGTGTAATAGCTCATTAAATATGGAATGAGTTTGTATGTTAACTTTAAATTCTCTCCCATTGTTATCATCTACAATGTTGTTTGCATCCTCATCATCAACACATAACTTACACAAGAAAGGATCATTTGATGTCCTATTCATATGCACTACATCCACATTAAATTCAAAGGTAACATTTCTAAGTTCATCTATGTTGTCTTCATTTTCACCATCAATACAAGACTCATGTTCATCATCATCATTATCTTCATCATCATGCCACCCATCAACACCAACCCCAATATGATCCACATAAACTGAAATTACACCATCTGTTCCATAAGCATCAAAAATAAAAGCAGAATATTCCACATCATCTAAAATGGGATTAAGCCCTTCCATCAAGGACATGTCTGGTTCACAGTAGTAAAACTTTTTACACTCTTCATGCATGAAACGTTCGCAGAAGGTCACAAACTCAGAATAAGTCAAAGAAGAAAAGTCAACATCATTGAAGATGGTTTTAACACCACCAGTGTAAGAGAAAGGATTTTGATTAAATACCCCTTGGTAGTTGAGTTCCACCATCGCAAACAGTCCATTAGGTTCCGATTGTGTCATTGTTGCGACTTCTTTGTTTCTTTCAGCTCGATCATAGGAATGCTTCACAAACCCTAAATCAGTTTCTTTTACAGGTGAATAATGAAGACGAAGACGATTGAAGTTCGATAGCTGAAGACGAAAGGCTTTAAGCTTCGTAGATCATTAATTGACGTGGCATATCTCACATGGCATCGGATTAGACAAAAAAATATATATTAATTGACAAAATGGCATCGTATAATCGGGAAACCTTCTAAAAGTTGATAACATAGTGTAATTAAAAGGTCAATTACGAGTTTACTGGTCTAATGTACCAAAAAAAACTTTAAGGACCAAATTAGCCAAATGTAAAAAGTTCCATGTGCTATAGTGACATTATCCCAAAAAATAAATAAATAAATAAATAAGGTGTTTATTGCTTAATCTTACCGTAATAAGCAAATTTAAGTGTTTGGATAAGAGTCTTTAAAAATCAGCTTATTGCGGTAGGAATAAGCAAAATAAGTTAATTTAAATAAGCAAAGGGGGAATGTTTATTGCTTATTGGTCATTTTACTCATATAAGCTGTTTTATTTTGCCAAACACTTAAATGCTTATTGCTTATTGCTTATTCCCACCGCAATAAGCTAATCCAAACACATTTTTAAAAAAATGTTTATTCTCACCACAATAAGCAAATAAACAATAATCTAATAAGCTAAAAATTATTAATCAGGGGTGTTGATTGGGTAAAATTTTCGGGTTTCGGGTAATTTGGGTTTTTCATATAAAAAAATGTACCCGTTACCCTACCCAAATTAAATTCGGGTAATTCGGGTATGGGTAATTCGGGTAATGGGTCGGGTAAGGGTAATCCGAGTATTACCCGATTTTTATTTTTTTTATTGACACCTAAAAATAAATGTAATGAAATAAGTATGTCGTGATAAACTTTGAACATTGAGATTTTTTACTCAATAATATTTGAGATATCAAGTATTCTTTCCAAAGTTTTGATCTTGGGTTGAATTCTTTATTTTTCTCTCTTTTTTTTTTTTTTTTTTTTTTTTTTTTTTTTTTTTTTTTTTTGCGGAACTTGATAATTGGTTGGGTTGTCAACTTAAATCGTCTCATCTTCTACTTCAATATAGTCATCCATTGGTGATGAATACCAACGTAGAGCAGACGAGGTACGGGGGTTTTTTGACGTGGGGAAAATAGAACAAGCCTCAACAAGGGAAATTGGGATTTGGAAATTGGGAGGGACAGATAAACTCATAAAAGGGATATTATTTGTTATATATATTTCGGGTAATCGGGTATACCCGAAACCCAAACAACTTACCCTTTACCCAACCCGAAAAAAATTCGAGTTACCAACTTACCCGAAAAAATTAACCTGATACCCGATACCCGAAAAAATCGGGTGAGTAATTCGGGTAACGGGTATTTTTGACAGGGCTACTTTTTATATCCGTGTTTCGACCGCCAAGGTGTGTTTTGGGTTAGTTTTAATTTTGAGTGAATTGTAGAAAGGGTCCATATAGTTATGTACTCTATCTCTCTCTCTCTCTCTATTTCTCTCTCCCCCCTCTCTCTCTACATGGCCATTGAAGATCATTTTCAATGTCTAATACAATCGTTTCATTTCATTTTCCCCATCTCTCCTTCCTACCTAAATAGAAACACCAGTAATTTGCCAACTTGAAATAGATGTTAGTCATTCTTGTAATAAAAAGAATCTCTTAAGCCTTTGAGACAAAGAAAAAGTTTATCTTAAAGGAGAGAATTAAAAGTATAACATATTCTTGCTTTTGTTCTTAACCCTTAAGAAAACTAGAGAGAAAGATTGTGAGAGGGACATAAATTTGGATTTTACAACTAGTGAAACCAGAAGCAAGTCTTCAAGTTCTTATCACCTTGTAGCTAGTCTTTAATCCATGGATCTCAAGACTTTAAGACCCATGTCTCATTATCTAAACTAGCCATGCTTTTAAAGCATGTCATAAGTATTGAACAAACCAAAACCAACTAGTTCTTGTCTCCTCTCTTCATGCTACAGTTTTAAAAAGAAAGAAGGATTTTTATCAAAATCTTCCAATCTATTATAACTTATAAACTCAAATATATCCATATAAGACAAAAAAAGCATTTTGATCCAAACGATAATAATACCTTATGATATATTTTGTTACTTAGTAGTAAAAATTAATATTTTCATAAAATAAATAATTTCCAATTAATTACAGAGTTATAAATATTTATAATAAATCAAATTATTATAAATAAAATATTTGTATCAAGTTGTTGTTAGTATGACCTTTTAGGTTCATATATTATCTAACAAATATCACTCTATAATGATTTTTGAGCATATATATCTTTCAATCTCATACTTGCATAAGACTCATTCTACATTGATATAGATAGTGGGGAATATCTAGCAACATTTCACTACCCCTAGTAATATGACTTAGTGTCATTATATCAATATCCAATTTCCCAAAAGCTCACAGCTTCCATTGATGTATAAGGTAATCTTATCAATTATCCCTGTAACGTCTGGTTCTTGGTATATATTTAATTTATAATTTATTCTATTTTACAGAGCAACTCAACGAGTTGGGAGCCCCAAACTCGTCGAGTAGAGATCATAAGGGCCATATAATTTGAGTAACCTACTTGACGAGTTGGAAGGCATCAACTCGATGAGTAGGTTGGCAGATATGAAACCTAAATTTTCAGGGTTTGCACCCTATTTAAACACCTTAAACCTTTCATGTTGCTCTCATTTCCAGCCTCCAAGTCCCAAACCCTAAATCTCGAAACCCTAATGCTATTGTGAGTGTTTGTGAGAAATTCTAAGTGTTTTAGTGTTTGCATTGAAGCCATTGGAAGAAGGAAAAGCTTGAGGACACAAGAAAGAGTTTGTAGATCCAGAACCCTTGCCTCATCCACGACATTTTGCTGGTATAAAGCTTAAACCTTGCTTTATAGTTGAGTAGATCTCCTTTTTGGGGGTTATTTTGCTTGGTTTTATCCAAATATCATGATCGTTGGACGTCCCAAATGGGTTGCCACTTCAGATCTAAGGTCTTGAGAGGTATTGCATAAATGTGCCAACTTTATGGCCATGGAAGTCCCATGCAACCTTTAGACCATCATTTTGGCCTTTTGAAGCTTCTATGACCAATCATGTAGATAAAGTTTATGCTTTACGTGACCATTTAGTCCTTAGAGTCTAGATCTATGACCTCATGGTCTATCTTGGTTGTTTTTGGATCAAGACCTTGGCTTTTTGGGGTTAGGGTTAGAGCTTATTTCTTCTAGAGTGGGATTTAATAAGTAAAGTTGGAAACTTTACCCTCTTAGATGCATTTTCGGCTCAGATCTGGAATATGAGACTTGGATTTGAAGAATAAGGGCTTAATGCATTAAGAAGGGTTGATAGACTAATGAACTCGACGAGTCCATAAGGGAACTCAACAGGTTGGTTTGGAAACTTCCCGTTTCTATTGGAAAGGAAGGAACTTGACGAGTCCATAGGGGAACTCGACGAGTTGTACTAGGAAAGTCCCATTCTGTTGAGAAGGCAAAACTAGGCGAGTTGGAGGAAAACTCGATAAGTTGGATCGCGATATCACGATTCTATGATTCTTGGAAACTCCGCGAGTTGAAGGGAAACTCGACGAGTTGAGTCAATTCAGAGCATTGACTTTGACTATTGACTTTGACCAAGTTGACTACTAAGGGTTATGAGTATGAAATGGTATCTAAGGGGTTGTTTTGGTTCAAGGAGTGAGTAGAGCTAATTCCGAGGTAAAGATGTTTCAGTTATCAGTCAACATTGAAGGTGAGTTTCCTCCTGGATTGAACGGGTCGAAGGCACCAATGTCAGACCATGTATATTATATGTGCGTATTAGTAGCTAAGTGTGGGCAGTGCTCGTATCTTAGCTTTACTTGAGTATGGATAGGGAATGGATTGGTAGATTTGGTTATACTTCTTGTCTGTGTGATACTTGAATGTGCTTCTTAGTTAGCTGAGTATGGGTGGGGTCTGAATCTCACTATTAGCCGAGTGCGGGCGGGGATCGTATCTTCTAGATAGCTTACTGTGGGCAGGGCTTGTATCTCATTAAGCATGGGCGAGGCCCGTTATCCGAGTGTGGGCGAGGCCCATATCTCCTTGAGTGTGGGCGGGGCCCGTATCTCCTAGTTGCATGTTATGTGTATGGTATGCGGTAGTTTGGGGGAAATTCACTAAGCTTCATGCTTATAGTTTTTAGTTTTGGTTTTAGGTACTTCTGGTAGCAAAAGGAAGAGCTCGGGATGACTGCATTGCACACACCATGATGTTTAGCCTGGGATGTTTACTCTGATATATTTGACTGATGTTTCGATATGGATATACCGTTTATGATGTTTTGACTTATCTTTTGATGAGATTATTTTGATAACTGTGGTTTCATTTAATAATTAAAAATGAAATTTTTAGTCATGATTTTTGGGATGTTACAAGTTGGTATTAGAGCCTTGTGTTGAGATAAAATCTATAAAGATCGAAAGATTCAAAGAGTTAATTGAAAGCAAGAACACAAGAATGGATCAAAATATGCTTAATGATTCAAAGTCATGCCTCAAAAGAACTCGATGAAGAATTGCTAATTTAGAGGCGTATAGGGTTACAAAGTTATTTTCAAGATCACTAAAACATGATACATGCATGCACCTTAAATACTATAACCCTAATAATAAATGATAGGTGGACAAGCCCAAACCCGTTTACATAAATGGACTATATAATAAAATACAATGACGCAACACAACATTCCCAATAATCCCCCCCCTTTGGGTCAATTGAGGCGAGAGTTCATCAAGGCTGAGTTCTCTTCTGCACTTCAAAAACTTTCAGAATTATGCTCAGCCAAATCTTGCGAACCTGTATGTACCATTGAATCATATCCGAAAAGCACTTCTTGTCTCGTTTGTTGTTGCCCTTGTATTTAGTGATCATGTCCAAAATATACACTAGGCAAGAGGTTGTGTACAGATGTTTATCAGGGAGGAAGAAATAGGTCTTGTGAAAGTCTGCATCATTTTGTTCTTGCGCCTGAAATACCACATACCATCCTTCCTTGTATATCTTCCTAAGTTTCAATTTCTCAAAACCTTCTGGAGCTTGTTTGGGGAGAACAAATGGCTTCCTTCATAGTATGGAAACTATTTCCACATCCATTTTGCCAACCTCTTGAACATACAAAACTATCATCCATTTAAGGTGAGCTATAACGGGCTCGTACTTCTGTCCGCCTCTTAGCAGTAAGTTGTAAAGCATGATCCAATCACAGGGATTGAGGCATGGCAGGTCTGCGAGAGTGATATCGTGAACCTGACTAGCAGAACCTCTCGCAACCTTGAGCTTTGCATTAGGGAAGTTGTCGGTTTCAATTAGACTTGTGACCTTCACTGCAGTAATCTTGCTAGCACTCCAAGTTTTGTATTGTGGCTTCATGTGCTTGAGATAGAATGAGAAGAGTGAAACTTGAAGGGACATTCTCTACTTTCACAAAAGAGCGAAACTTGAAGGCTTTCAAAGTTATTGGTAGATCCAGCTACGAATCTTGTGTATTCTGAAGCTCGAATGATACAACTGGTTCTAGCCAATATTGACTCGGTATATCCACAACTTCATTGTGAATTCGCTTCAGAGTTCACTCTGGAAACAACAACTTTCGGCTTTCCAGAGTAACATGAGCTTCACATTCTGCTTTCTCTATCGCTTCAGTCTCTCGGATTATTCTTTGATGATCATCCATTTCAGCCTCTCGTGGCTTTCTTCTTTTGAGCTCGTTTTCAATAGGCTCTTCATCTTCGTTGTTGTCAATTATGGGTTCTTCACTGAAAAGTTTTTCTTTTTCCTTTAGGCTCAGATTTACTTTTGACAGTGTGCTTGGCTGAAGGTTTGGGGTCTTCCTTCTTGGATAGTGGCACACCTTCTCCCCCTTGTTTCAGAATGGAGCTAGATTCCAGAACACCTTCCAGTCGATGAAGCATGGCGAAGATGGGCCTTAGTTTCTCAGCAAGAGGCATCTTTACCATAATCATAATTATTGAGTCATGATTCTCAATGATATCTGAAAGCATGCCGGTGACGTCTACGATGTAGCTTTTCATAGCAGCTTTCTCAGATAACAACTCATTGACTTGTTTCTCAAAAATTTCGGGTTTGACTGTCAAGACTTTCACCTTTTTGGTCTTGAAGCTTAGAGATTTGTGAGGAGATGGATGATTGGAACTCGTCATGGTCAGATTTAAGACCAGTGCGAACCTCTTGAAGTTTCGCCTTAGTATTAAGTGTTGAGCCCAGGCTAGAAATGATTTCATTAGCCTTCGTAATGTTGAACTTAAAGGAGCTCTAGAACTTCTTCGTGAATACGTGAGCATCAATTATTAGTTTATCGACTTTTTCGGTCATGTTGTTGTAGACTGTAGTAGAAACATATACCGCCTTGTTCATATTTTCAAGGTTGGCAGAGTGCTCTTTAGTAAGGGTCTCAAGTATAGACTTGGTCGTTGCGTGAGAGTAATCATTAGTGGATGATGTCTTTGTAGCATGAAGCAGTGAGTCTAGTTTTTCATGTATCGCCTTAAGTTTCCCTCTTGTGACAGGGGCTTCATCATCACTTTCAGTCCTGATGTTGAAAGGACTGTAGGCGAATCATGTGAAGTCGTCATCATCGCTGAAAATCATATCTGGGTCATTATGGCGAAGATGGGAAATAGGTGGTGTGGAATGACCAGACGTGAAACTTGAAGCTCCTACCCCCGCATCAGATGCGTTGACAGAAACAGGAGGCTCAACGGTTGTTGTTAGTGTCATGGTAGAATCGGTGAAAATAGGTGAAGGTTATAAAACACCTAATGAGACAGGTGGGCATGGAGCAATAGAGATTGGTGTTGAAACGGTGGCAGTTGGAGATGGAACAGAGACAGTCTCAATGAAATCAATGGAAATAGGAACTAAGATAGGAGTCTCAATAGTTACGTCAGGATTCATGGAAATTGGTTGTGAAACCTCTGATTGTGAAGTTGTTGTAGTGTCTTCCATCTGGACATGCTCATCCCCTTCAATACGAACGTTTGATTGAGTGTCATATTGCGAACATTCGCTTTCACTTGAAGTTGGAGATCTAGGCTTGCAAGCTTTCTTCTTTATCTTTCGCTTCTTTGTTAGAGTAGGAGCTGGTGCAGATGAGCCAAGTTGTATCTTTCGTTTCTTGGGGGGGGGGGGGTTTGCAGGTTCAGACGGACCCTCTTTAGCACTTTGTTTCTTTTCCCCTTTCTTTCATCCTTTTTGCACTCCATTCTTTGGTTTGTTAGCTTCATCAATTATCAACTGCATCTTAGGAGTCAAAGGACGAAAGCCTGAAACGGAAGTTTCCTGTAGGCTTCAATAATTTTACTATCTGCAGGAACATCTCAAAACATGGCTTTAGGAATTGATCCAACAAATGAAAATTTTGAGTTATAAACAAGGATAATGTTGGTGGTGTGAAAGATTGAGATGGCAAACATGAAGGAGTCTTGCATCACCGGAATGTTGAGCTTCTCGATTTCCCTCTAAACAATGATTGTCCAGAATCAAGCACAGGAGATTTCACTGTGTTGCATTGTTGAATGGGTGCTTTGTACCAATTGAGCCCAAAGAACAACTCCAAAATCGATGTTGATTCCATTTTAGAGCCTATACATAATTATCATTAACAACTTACTAGAACAGTCTGACCCTGTCACACGCTCCGAAAAACTTTTGAATAATAGGCTAAAGAGCCCATTCCATTGCGGTGGCAAATTGGGCTTCCTGGATTTTAAGATCGTAGTTAGGGTTTCTTTGTACCCTATTTGGTAGAACATCTCCATGATGGCGACGACTGAGATGGAACCAGGCTCTACCATATCATCGGTCTAAGCAAGTCCTAGCAAGGAGCAAAATCGGGACTTGGTGATTGAGGTTTCTCTGGTTGTGAACTTCATAGGTGATTCGTTGTTCTTCCTTGATGTAGCAAGCAGATGAGTAAGCCTTCGACAGGAGAGACATTGGAACAATCTCTGATTTGGTCAAAGCTTTAACCAGTGGTGAGTATTTCAAGCACTCGACGATTGGTAACATGAAGCTGTCATACTTGAGAGGATCTAGATGGATAATCAAGTTTTGGTTTTGCTTGATGGTGAGAAGGGATGACTGAGAAAACTGATCTTGAACTGAAGGGGTTTTTGATGAGGCAACCATGGATTCTTGTTGAAGCGGATGATGAATAGTAGAGAAAAAAATTGCCTTGAGAGTTTGGGAATCTTTTCATAATGGTAAGGAACGATGAAGCGTCAGAAATCCCTTTATACCATTAACCAAGAGAGAGAAAGTATGGTGACGGTTGCATTTTCTCCTCTAAAATGTTGCCTAAAAAGACACGATGTGACAACTGTTACGTCAGAAAAAGGTGTCAGGCAGTGGAAAACCAGGCGTCGATTCAAATTTCACGCGCCCATTTGAAAGCTTATCCATTAGAGTTTATGTGTTAGTTTCTCCCTTTTGTAGTTAAGTTGTATACCATCTTTTGCGTTTAGATACGAACTTTCGCCTTTAAGCAAACTTCAGTTGAACTGCGAAACTAAAAACAAGTGTAAGTACCACAAACCAGACTTTTGGAAAATCACAATGATCTTTGTGTGAGAGTGTGCGAAAGAGAAAGAAATAAAGCAAAGCATATGTGTGGGATTTCAGTGATATCTATTTTAAGACACGAAATAGTGGATCCCGGGCAAAGATCTCTTCCTTCAAAGTCAAGAGAGACTAAGAAGTGTTTGTGTGGTTTCCCTTTGAGTTACGATCAATTTTTTGTTAAGAAACAGTGAAAGGCATCTTTTAAAGGTTTTATTGGGTTGTTCTATCTCCAACGAAACTTGATATAAGTCCGAAGGTTTGAATCGAGCACTTGTTTGACCAATGTAGTCAATTGAATAACTAAGCTTTGAAATTATTTTAAGTGACATGGATTCACTTTGAAGTCTCCAAAAAAAACTAGAAAATAGAAACTGGATCTATTGGTAAGAAATGTCTTAAGTCTAGAGCATTTCGTTAAGATCTCGCAAAAGGAAAGGAGATTTCTTGGTGTATACCACGAAAGTGGAGTTTCGTTAATTCCTTGGTGAATAGTCTAGAACATGTATATTGTTCACCGTCAATTCATATAAGTGTGTTGGATTTTGGGTTTCACTCAGTTCGCGGTGATAACGAATTGAAGATCATAAACACAGAAGTTGTGTAACCATAAACCTTAGTGGTAATATTAGAGAGTCTCGAGGGTTACATTGATGAATGCGAAAGTAGTGGAGAAAAGTGTGAAGTGGTTCCAAAGAAAATAATGTACCTCTGCTTTGCGAAAATGACCAAGTAGCTAACTCTTTACCCAATGTGAGAACAGTAAGGTAGCTCATGACTTATGTGAATTTGCAGCCTAATTGGGAAGAAACGATTGGTATTATCGATTCATTAAGGCTTCAACATAAAGTCTAGGAGGCTTTAGACAACATGCAATAGCATGCTTCTAGGGACACTTAACTAGTACATAGATAACGAAATTTATACTTGCCCCATCATTAGTAATTGAGATGATCAAGACTCTTGACATGAAACCTGCTCAATAATCCAATGATTTTGAAAATTTGAAATAAGTAAAATAAGAGAGAAGAAAAATAAAGAAAATATTATGTATTTTTGATTTTCTAAAAGAAATAAAAATAGAAAGAGATAAAATAAAAATAAAACAAAACCATTAAATATTTTTGTAGTTTTGATCCAAAAAAATAAAATAAAGTAGAAAGAAAAAAATTAAACTAAAGAAATATAAAATAAAAAATAAAAAATATACATAATATACAAAGGGATATAAAACCCTCCAAACCACGAAAGGACAGTGGGCCATGAGAAACTTGAGCTTTCGTATGAAGTCGTAAAAAAATGGTTGTGAATTACTACAAGCGTTCACACTGTTTCGTGGAACAAAAGATGACTGCGAATTATTGTGAGCGTTCGCACAAATTCGCATGACATCCTCTAGACTGCGAGTGAGAAAGTGTAACTGAAAGCGAGAGTGTTACGGTGAAAGGAAGAGTGGTTTTGGAATGGATTCAGCTTCCATCATTCCTAATCCTTGAAGAATATAATTGAATGTGGATTATGGTAGGGCTTTTGTGAATATGGCAACTAACTGATCAACAAATCTAACAAAATGTATCTCAACATTACCATCTTCTACATGATCTTTGATGAAGTGATACATAAGTTCTATGTGCTTCGTCTGTGAGTGTTGCACTGGGTTATGACAAATGAGAATGGCACTTTTGGAGTAATAATATAGTGGAATTTGTTTCATGTTCAAGCCATAGTCACGAAGTTGACTTTGAATCCATATGACCTGAGAAGTGCATGAGGCAGCAGCTATATACTCGGCTTTAGCTGTTGATAAGGAAACACAGGTTTGGTTTTAGATTGCCAACTGACCAGTTTACCATCAAGAAATTGGCATCCTCCAGTTGTACTTTTTCTATCTAACCCACATCCTCCAAGATTAGCATCCGTAATTGCTTGCACAAAGAAACTAGTCTTTGATGGGTACCATATTCCTAGTGAAGATGTTCGTTTAAGATACCTGAATATGTTCTTGGCAGCGACCATGTGAGGTTCTCAAGGATTAGCTTGAAACTTGGAACAATAACAAATGGAAAACATGATATTCGGTTGACTAGCAGTAAGATACATTAGAGAACCTATCATTTGACGATGAAGCGTCATATTTGTAGTCGATTTTTCCGGAGATGGAATTAGTTTCGTTCTGAATGCCATCGAAACTTTCACATTTGAGTCTCCCACCATTCCAAACTTGGCGAGCAAGGTCTACGTATAAGCTTCCTAATTTATGAAGATTCCTTCCTGACTCTGCCTTATGTTGAAGCCAAGGAAAAAGTTAATCAGGCCCATGGAGCGTATCTCAAACTTCGTTTCCATCAATTTTCGGAACTCAACGGTTAAGCTTTGGTTAGTAGAACCGAAAATAATGTCATCAACATAGATTTGGAAGATCATCAAGTGGTCACCATATTTCTTGGAAAAGAAGGTTGGGTCAACCGAACCTTGTTTAAACTTAGCCTATTTCAAAAAACAAGTAAGAGTTTCGTACCAGGCTCTTGGAGCTTGCTTCAAACCATAGACCGCTTTGTCTAGAATGTAGTAGTGATTGGGATAA